ACCAACTTTGTGCCTTGGCAATCTGATGTCCTGTTTTACCCTCTGACTATACCAAATATCTGCCACTTGTCTCTGTTACCTCCCCAGGAGTCTGCACTCTTCCTGGGAAGCCAAACATTGTTAGAAGCAGTGTTTACCTGCCAGCTTTGCTGATACTTAGATCACCCTTCCCTTTCTTGAAGGAATTCTAGACAAAGTACAGGAGTGTGCTGGGGTCTTAGGGTATGTAACTGGATTTGGAGAAACTTCTGTTAGTAGCATCAGCTTTGATAAAGACTTAGGCAGAAACTGCCAATGACTTTAACATGGGAAAGCTTAGATTAAAACTGGTCCCTGAGTGTGGGTGACAAGTTATCTCTGTCCTGAAAGAATGAAATTAGGAATAGCCAGGTGTAAGAGATGAGAGCCAAAGTCAACAGGAACTAAAAACAAACAAACACAAATCTATCAAGGAACAATGTGAGGAACACCCAAATCCAAACAGTGGGAACTGAGAATGACCTCAGAGAAGAAGGAATGTTCTGTCATGGTATCTTTGGTGGTGTATGTTTTTTTTGGGGGGGGGCGCAGAACTGGTGGACATATGAACACAATTTGGGAGGCAGGCATGGCCCAGGAATACTCAACTTTGGTCCATTGTCAGAAAAGCCCCCTTATGCTGTTAGGCAGGTGAGCGAGGATTGAATGCAGGGGGAGGGAAAAGATGGAGAAGCTGAAAAAAACCATTCTCAGGGAAGGGCCCCATAGTGATTCATCCACATGCAGCCTCTGTTTGTCCATTTCATTCTTGGGGTCACTGTGCGTTCCTTCTGTACTATAGATAAATGGTGTTATCAGTGATTTGCCTCCCCAGTGCCTCCAAGTGAGAGCCATGTTATTTGGCTAGTAGAAATGGATCACATGTGGGATGAGGAGATCTGGAGATGCAGCCAAAGGTGTCAACAAGAGCTGGATCTGGAGGAAGCAGCCTCCTTAGAGGAGGTTGACTGTATTGACTAAGGAAAGCCATCCAGGATTTTTATGTTCAAAACAATATGGTGGGCTGAAGGGCGACCAAAGGATGGAGACGTGAGTAGATATTTAATGATCTGTTCTCTCTCTGAGGTTCACCCGAGAGTGTGGCTGGTCCTCCATTGGGCAGTGTTCTCTGCTCCCTTTTGGGCTGTGTATGGCTCTCCTGCCTAGACCACAGCCATGGACCAAGTGGAGGGGACCCAGGCCCAGCCTGGTGGGACTTCAGCAGAGACACACAGATTTCCCCACCTTGTTCACATCTTTTTAGTCTCTCTCCTTCCATTTTCATATGCATCCACTTTTTCTTTTGCTTTTAATAACAATTTTTATTATGACATACATTAAGCATACAGAAAATCTCACCTAATACTGAAACATCTATCACTCAGCTGTATTAAATCTTGCTGTGTTTCTGTTTCATTTTAAGAATCAGAGTCTCACAGGGGAGTAAGCATCTCCACCTGTGACCATATGCATCTATTTCTCCTGTCTAGAGACAACTACTCTTGTGGGTTAGGATTATAATCCCCACACATTTTTGGGTAGCCTTTAAATCTGTGTGTACATCTGTAAACAATATTTAATGGTTTCCCATGGTGTTAAATTGTATAGACTCAATGAAACACTTTTTGTCTTTCCTTTTTTGCTAATTGTTTTCTTTTGTTTTTGAGATGGGAGAATCTAGCTATATTGCCCCAGGTTGGTCTCAAACTTGTGAGCTCAAATGATCCTTCTCCCTTATCCTCCCCAGTTCTGAGACAGGCATATACTACCATGCTGGAATTTTTGTGCTTTTAAAAAAGTTTTCCAGACTAAGAATGCTTGCCTGGCATACACAAGATCTGGGTTTAGTCTCCAACATCAGGGGGGAAAAAAAAGCTTATTGAACTTTTTTGTTTATGTATGTGTCAGTACATATAGCTTTGGCTCATTAATTTTACCCACTGTGTGCGGTATTCTATATCTCACTTTATCCACTCACCTATTAATGGACATTTAGGTGATTATAATTTGGTGTTCTTACACGCCTATTATGGTATAGCAAATAGTCTTTAAATGTCTCCTTGAGTCTGTGTGCAAGTGTGCATTTCTAGATTTCTATATCTTTGACCCTGAAAGATATTGCCAAAGTGCTTTCCAGAGTGGATCTATGAACAGTATTTCTCCACAGCAGAAGAGGGATCCTCCTTTCTCCTTTCTCATATCCTGGAATATTTGTCATTGTCTGCTTTTTTGCCACTTTGTGTGTGTGTGTGTGTGTGTGTGTGTGTGTGTGTGTGTGTGTGAAATGGGATTTCTCGATCAGGTTCTCCCTCAAGATCCCAGTGCTTCTGGAAGCTCTACCTGCGGTTCTTACCCCAGTCATACATACATGGGGGGTGGAGCCAGCATAAAATGCTTGGTTGACTTCCCTCCTGACCTATGAATTTGGAGTGCCAGAACTCTTTGCTGGGCTCCTTTTCCACTGGGACATTGATTGTTCTTGGAGAACCTCTCTCTGTCACAAAGCTTTGAAAGACCAATCATATAAGCCATTGACCTCCAAATATATAAATAGCTCCATCCTGAATGTCAAAAGATACTGAACAGATTTATTTGGTAACTAATAAGCAACTGAAATAAAATTTAACTTGTCCAAAGAACCACTCAATTTCTCCCCTCAAGCCTAATCCTTCCTCATTCTTCACTATCTCAGTCAATGGTAGTATCATTTATCTCAGTGTACGTAAGTGCTCAAACTGAGAATTTAAGAGTCATCCTTGATTCTTTCCTTCCCATTCGCTCCACATTCAATCCATCAACTCATATGAATTTCTATGGCAAGTTATTCCTGGATTTTACCCTTCATTCTATTTCCACTGTTTCCACTTTGGTTCAAGCCACCTCTTGCCTGGGCCACTGCACTTCCCCTAACTGGTCTACTTGTTTCCTCCTTTCGCCCTTCTAAATCATCTCTAGCCAAAAGATGATTTTCTGTTTTGGTAGTGGGATGAAGCCCAGGACAAGTACATGTTAGGCAAGTGCTCTACCACTGAGCTACAACCTAACCCCATGGAGACAATCTCTCATTAGACCATAAAAAAAAAAAACAATCAAACATCGTTGCTATACTCAAAACCCTCCAATTGTTCTTACTGAACAAAACACAAGTTCATGAATTCTATGATCTTCAAGGTAGGCATGATGTGATGCCTGCTTGCCTTTCTTTCCTAATGCTCTGGAACTTTCTGTGTGGTAGGGTCTTTCCTTTTCATGCCTCCCTTTTTGTTCAGGGATCTATCAATTGCACAAACACCTGTCCTGACAGCCCACACTAATTAGCATGGCCCCTTAGCTGTTCCCTAGAACACCACCCTAATCTATTTTTATTCAGGAACTTCTCAGCCTCAGTTCTGTGATCTGTCTACCACCAGAATGTCTCACCATGAGAATGGAGGCTTGCTTCCTTACTCTCAACTTGTAGTACCCACTTCATAGTGGGTGCCCCTAAAGGTTTCTGAAATTAATGAATGGGTGGATTAGATCAGATTTTCTTGAACAGACTGAGTTCAAGTGACATTTCCCTTCCATTGTATGGCAAGAATAAGCTACTTGAGACAAGATAACATTTGTCTTTAACCAGAATAGTTGTTCTCCAGCCTTTTAGTCTTAGACCTTCTTGAGACTTAAAAATTACTGAGGACCCTGAAGAGGTTGTGTTTATGTGGGTTATATCTCTAGATATTTGCCATATCAAAAATCAAAATGATATTTTTAAATACTTATTTTAAAACAATGACCTATTACATGTTAACATATTCCATGTTTACATGAAAATAGCTATATTTTCAAAAATAGTAAGCAGAGTAGCAAACTTGAGCAGCAACTCTACACTTATCTAGTAAGTTCCAGTAAAGATGGTATTGAGGAGCTGGGGATGCAGCTCAGTGGTAGAACACTTGCCTGGCATGTGTAAGGCCCGAGGTTCAGTCTTCAGCACCATACACACACACCCATACAAAAAAAAAACTCCTGTTGAATAGGTGATTTTGAGATTTTACAGTCTCAGGATTGGATGCAGCCTCTTCACAGTGCATAAGTGGGGACAATAAGAAAACAGGAATCTTTAGCAAGAAGAGGCCACATTTCCCCTTAGGTACTCTGTGGCTAACCAGCAACCACTTATCATTCCCAGCATGGATAGGTCCTTTCTCTTCTCTTTCCCCTGTCTTCTTGCTTCCATTTAAAAAATTTTAAAATTTATTTTATTCATGTATTCATGTATTCATTCATTCGTTCAAAGACATAGGGTCTAACTGTATTGCCCAGGCTGATGTTGAATTCCCAGGCTTAAGTGATCTTACCTCAGCCTCCTAAGAGGCAGGACTACAGGTGTGTGTCACATGCCTGCCTTTCTCTCCTTTTTTAAAAAATGCAGGGCTGGCAGCATGGCTGAAGTGGTGGAGCACCTGCCTGACAAGTTCAAGACCCTGAGTTCAAAAATAAATCCAGGCTCAGTGGTCGGTCCTAGGTTTGATCCCAAGTACCACACAAAAAAATTAGTTTATATATGCTGTATATCTTTTAAATAGTTTATTTCTATAATCCGAATAGTGCTTGCAAATAATTTAATGCAAAGAATTCCTTTGAAGTATTTCTTTTGAAAAGTGAATTCAGAAACCTGGTTTTAGTAGAATTTATTTATTCCTCTCCGTATTCGTGTTGAGCAACCAAACTGGGTATCAGATTCTTTTCCTTATTACAGTACTGAAACCCAAGTTCTTCCCCAATATCGAAACCCAAGTTCTTCCCCTTTTTAAGAGGAAGCTGCCCCCTCCCTCTTTATTTTTCCTTCTGGTTAGAGGAAATTCACAGAGCCAAGACTAAAAAAAAAAAAAAAAATAGGTGGTCATCTCCCTTCCTGTTGAAATGTCAGTTCTCCAGGCTCTGTGAGCAGGCCACGCCCCTCCACTTTCTGACGTCATACTATTTTTGTCTTTGAATAGCTCATTGACACAATCGCTTCAGAGATCGGCCAACTGAAACAAGAGATGGTGCAGCCAGATGTCAGCCTGGAAAATGGCCTGGAACCTTCTGAAACCCACAGGTGACCAAAGACTAATAGGTGCTGTGTGCAAGAGGGACTCGGTGAAGCCCATTTGGTCACTCCTCTGAAGTTTGGGTACTGGGAGTGTGGTGGTGGCTCCAGATGAAATCCTCTGTAGGAGGTGGGAGTGGCCTAGGAGCTCCTTGTCTGCTCGTTTATTTTAATCGCTTTGAAGGCACTTGAACTTTATACCTTCTCAATTCCTCCTGGCACCAGAACCCGGAAACCTAAAATTGTCTGTGCCATGTCACAGTGATGGAAACAATAACGCAGTGGATCCTCCGTGGGCAAAATAGAATTCAGTGTAGCCCTGTCAGTCTCCAGAAGGTTTAAAGGGGAGCAACTAAAGAGGATGGACTCATTTTGCATTCTCAGGTCAGAAAAATCCCCAGTGTTACCTAAAAAGCAACCCAGTGTATTGGAAATGATGCAGTTGTAAATGATTAAGAAAGGAGAGGCATTGTTCATGTGTTACACGCTCTCTGAACCCGGGGATGGGGGGGCGCTGGATTTTTATCTGGAGAATGGGAATACAGGGGTCAGGGTGGGAAAAGGATCTTTGGAAATAACCTCTTCCAGCTCTTTATTTTAATGTGTTGCTAACAAAGACAACAGAGTGTAATCCCTACAAAAAGACATGGATACTTGGTACCTTGGAAGCCAGATGCATTATCAGCTCCCCACTTTTTCCCGGAAAGTGGGGTTGAAGCTGCCTGGAGAAGTACAAAGCTAAGATTTATGGTGTGGGTTTTACTTATATGTCATGCAACATGCAGGCGATACAGATGATTCTGGTTGTCCAGGCAAGTTTCAAACCAGCCTGACTTGTTCTCTGCCCAAGACTGAGGGGAGAGAGCACCATCCCAGGGAGGCGGGTGCTAAGCAGCTGGGAGGTGGTGCTTTGATGCCTGGAGTCTCTAGAGGAACTGCATTTGGCCTTAGCTGTGCAAGTTCTGTGGGCCTTCCATTTTCTTGCCTTTGTTCAAAATGACAGAGGTAGACCAGATGTCCCCCATGCTTCTGTGCTTTCTTTTGACTTCAATGTGAAGGAATTGAGTACTTAAAATTTTTTCCTAAACTTACAAATGTATGGTGACTTTTACTTAAGGATGAATAGCACAGATTTCTTCCACATCCAGGAAATACACTGCTGTGAGATAAACGTCAAGCTTTGCTGGTGACAGACACTCAGATCCAGAGGGGCTGTTAGGATTATAGGCGCGAGGGGTAGGCACCATTAAGATCTTGTTCTGTGACTTCAGAAGGTATTAGTGTGGGAGAGCTAGAGGGTCATTTAATCCTTTACATCTCTTTTATCTATTTGTTTAATTTTGTTGCTGAGTATTACGCCCTTGTGCCTACTAAGCAGGAGCTGTACCACCAAGATACACCCCCAGTCCTAGTATCTCTTTTCATCTTGTCCTTTCCAAATTTAAGAATGACCAGAGGGCTGGAGTGTGGCTTATGTGGCAGAGCACTTGCTCTGATATTGCAAAGCCCTAAGTTCACACCCCAACACTGACCCCTAAAAATGACCTAATAACTTTTTTTTAAGATTAATGTCACTTGTTCTCAGATTTTGAGGATTTAATAATTGAATTTACTAATTTCTAGAAGCACTTTTAAAAAAAAACTATTTGATAGGAAAGAAAGAGAAAAGCCAAGATGAACTGTCTCTATTTAACAATGTATATAGTGTTTGCCACATGCCAGGCACTTAATTCAGTGGTTTACTGCTATGACATCTTCTTAACAATTCTAGAATCAAAGGTCTGTTATGACCCCTGTTTTACTAATGTAGGAACTGCATGATGTGGCTAAAAACCTGGATTTATAGCCAGGTGTGGTGGCACACATCTGTAATCCCAGAATTTGGGAAGGTGAGGCAGGAGGATTGTGAGTTCAGGGCCAGTCTTGGGCTATGTAGTGAAACCCTGTCTCAATAAAGAAAAATTAAATTTTACAAAAACAGAATTAATGAGGCTTGGGCTTCTGTGTTGGAGTCTCTCACTGAATTTTTAGTATTTTTTTTTTACAGTATTAGGGTTTGAACTCAGGGCCTTGCACTTGCTAGGCAAAATGCTCTACTATTTGAGCCATGCCCCTCCCCTCCAGCTCTTCTCACTGTTTTTGTTCTGTTTTGTTATTTTAATTGCTCCATCTTATCCAAAGGAGATGTAAGGAGAACCAGGCAGTGGGGAGGTAGGAAAAAGAGGACTTTGAGTTGTTTCTGAAATTAAGACAAACATAGCTGTGGCCACAAGGAAAACCACAATTCAGACTATACAGCCTTACTCAAAACTCCTATAGAAAGAAGTAGCCAACAGCCCTGGACCGTGACTCTGCATATCTGACAGCTGTGTGGATACACCACAGTCAGCTTCCTCTGACACCCTTCTCCATGAGTGTGAGCTGTGACGGGCCCTCACCTGCTACAGCACAGCCACCGCAAAAACTCTGTGCTTTCTTAGATGATTGGAACACCAGGTTAAGTGCCAAGCTAGTCCCTTAGTTGAGGAATTAGTACTCCTTTACCTTGTTGGCATTTGGTTTCTCCATGGTTAAATATTGAAATGAACTTGAGATCTTTAACTTTTTCTTGTGACCCAGACCCCTTCTCAGAATAATACTTTAAATGAACAAAATAAAATAGACTAGATAATAGAAAGGAAAAACAACTATATTGTAAAACAGTGATTTTGTTTGTTTTGAGACAGGGTCTTGCTATGTACAATTAGTAACTGTTTGTGGAATGGATGAAGGAAAGGTGCCAAACCCTTTGTAGGTTCTGAAGTATTAAAGCAACAAAGGCCTGTTGCAGAAACAAGATGTCCACCTTGTACTAGTACATAAAAACTGAACAATGTGGGATAGGCCTAAGGCTTCCTCCCTAGAAAAGAGGGGGGGGCTGAATCCCTTCCTTCTCCCACCCTGTGCTTCCTCCATCAGTCCTGAGTTATAACCTGTTTTAATTTTCTGCTATTGGCATAATAGCTGATTTTAAATCTACCCCACCCTCTGTCAATGTTTCACTAGAAAGAAGCTAGCAAACCAGGAGAAAAATGAAAAGCTTCTTACTCCTGGTGAGCTGCTCTCTCTACTGATGTCTTGTGTCTCGTCTTTCTTCCCACTTCATCCCTCTGAAGACTTGGGAGTATGAAAACATAAAGGCTTTTTACTCTGCCTTCCTCCATGTTCATTTGGAGGAAGGGTGTCTCTGGTTAGATCCTCCATGCCTGAAGCCAACCAGTGTTCTACCTTCATCGTCCCTGGGCCCATCACCTCTATGCTGACACACATCTCTAAAGATTTCTTTGTCCTCATCAGAGTAGAGGAATGACCTTATAAATACCTTGGGCTCAGACCCCTGAGGTCTGTGACCAGACCAAGTTCTTGAAGATCATTGCCGCCTTTTTTGGCTCCTCCTGTCCTCCTCACCTCCATGACTTCTATGGCCATCTTGCTGGCAGGCTGTACCCCAGTGGATCACTGAGTGATGCCCAGGGTCTTGCAGCTCCATTCCTCCCACCCTGTCCCATAACCAGGCACATGGAATTCAAAAATTCCTTAGCAAGCTCTACCCCATGCTGCTATCATGTAGCAGTTGGCCATCACCCAAGGGCTCTTCTGAGAAGTCTAAACTTGCCAGCAACTGTGTAACAGCCTTGACATCAAAACCACCTGAAGGGCTGGGGATGTATCTCAATCATAAAGCACTTGCCTAGCATGCAGTCTGCTCATTGCAAACAAAAACAAAAAAAAATCATGAAGCCAATGTGGTGGCAACCCTGTAATCCCAGCACTTGGGAGGCAGAGGCAGAGAATCACAAGTTTGAGGCTGGGCTGGACTAGTGAGCCACTAGTCCAGTGAGACCCTGTCTCCAAAAAAAAACAAAACCAAACAAATGCCATGTGAAACTCAGACTGTTGTCTTCCCTTGACTAGAAGGTAGAATACAAGATTGAGTAAGAACAGGGGCTACAGTCGGGAAAGACTGCCTAGAGTTGCAATCAAATAACTCTCCAGTGAGACAACTGAGACCGTATCAGCTGGTCTTTGGACCCCCACCCTCACTGGGTACTGATTTTTAAAAACCTTTTCCCTGATGTTAAATATAATTCGGCAAAAATATACACATAAATATATAACTGGATGAATTTTGACAAAGTATACAGACCACACAGCCAGCCTCCAAATCAAAAAACAGGACATTCCCGACATCCCCTTCTCCACCCAAGGGTACCCACTACCCCGACTTCTATTGCTGAAGATTTGCTCTGCTTCAAGTTTCTTTTTGGTTTTGTTTCTGTTTTGGTGGTGGGGATTGGATGCAGGGCTTCTTGCATGCTAAGTACATGCTCTACCACTGAGCTCTACCCACAACCCTAGTTTTGCTCTGTTTGGAACTATAAAGTTCCAAAACTATGAAGCTAGAATCCTATACAGCTGTACTCTTTAAAAAATGCTGATTTCTTTCATTCAGAGTTTTGCATGGTATGTCATTGCAGGAATACACCACAATTTGTTTGTCCATTCTACTACTGATAGATATTTGAGCTGCTTCCTGTTTGGAGATATTTTGAATAAGGTTGCTATGAACATTCTTGTGTATATCTCTCAGTGACACAGTAACATAAGAGTAGTGTTACTGGTCTGTAGGGTGGTTATATATTCAACTCCTATAGGTAGTGTTCAACAGCTTTTCAAAGGGATTACATGAGCTTGTGTGCTCCAATCTCATCTACACTTGGTATTGGCTACTTTTCCATTTTAGCCATTTGAGTGGCTATGTTGATTCAGAGTTTCTGAAACCAAGATGGATGTAGACAGATAGGTGTACTTGTGTGTTGTGACTCAAATATTTATCTTAGTGCTGTTGGACTCAGGAATGGGAACTCTGGGTTTAATAGTGTCATATTTTTTACATCTAAGTTCCAGACTAAAGTCATGGGAAATTCTGAGCTCATAGCTAGTTTCACTGGGCAATATCTATGGAAACT